TATTATCACGTTATGTAAGACGAAAAGTACAACAATAATTCACTAGAATGAAGAAAATTAATTAAAACAACATAATTTCATAAAAATATTATATTTACATGCTAAATATAAAATATTTTAGAGAAAAATATTAATTATTTCTAGACAAAATACACATGCATGTGTATAATCGGGCGGGTTCGGGTTGGATAGTGAGAAAATCATGCCCACCCATTACCCGTAATATTCGGGTTCGGGTTTTACCCGTACCCACTAAAAGTCCTTCGGGTTCGGGTTTTACCCTAAACAATTAAGTCGGATTCGGACGAATATCCACGATTACGGATATTTTTGCCATCCCTATTCTTCTCTTTCTCTTTTTGGTACAGCTAATGAAAAGCTTCATAAAATCAAAAGAACAACGGCTTGGACTAGTGGTAATACCACTAGTCTAGAATTTGGAGGTTTCAAGTTCGAATCCCTTAAATGGTACCTTAATTACAAAAAATGAAACTTATATCACTCTTATCCATAAAAAAGCTTCATCAAATCAAGTTTGACAATTTAGTATCTAGTAACCTCATATGTGGTGTTCTCTAGTATGAACTAATCAAGAGGACTGGTGTAATAAGATGACATAGTAAGTGGATTGCTTTAATTTAAGCTCCAAATTTTCACAGCATTAATTTTTCACAATAGGCGTGCAATCTAGATTAGAAGGAACAATGGTGAAGACAATTTAGTGGCCTTTGAACAACCAAGTAGGTATAACACCCTAAACATCCACCTAAGGTTAACACACAACATTTTGAGCACCATTGACATGTTACTGAAGAAGGTTATTTATTATAACTTGATCAAATAGAGATTTGATTGAATTTGCAAGAGAATATAAGAGATCATAAATGAACATAGACACAATTCAAATTCGTATGAATAAGAATCTCAGTAGTTTTACCCAATTTCAACAATCAATGCAACCACTGTATACGTCAGACGTGCTGTGTTCAAGGGGAAAATGAGTCTCGATCTAGTGCCAAGGCATTCCAAAGGTAGTTCTTCCCTAACAATATTGAACCTTCTCTTACAAAACACGCTATTAGGGATGGCAATGGATCCATTTATTGGATAATTGCACCCAATTTCCATGACTTGTATGGACATCGTGTCGGGTTCAAATGCACTTTTAATGATTTTGAGTTTGGGTTGAGTTTGGGTCAGACCCAAATGAGTCTATTTGAGTCTAATTATACTTACGAAAAAGCAATATCTATCATCTAACCACTGTCTTCAAGCGATTAACACATTTATGTGTGATTTTGAACAAAGAATAAAAAAGGGCAAAGTTGCAAGAGTTGAGTATCCATTTTCTTTTCGTTAGCCAATGTAACATGCCTAATATTTAGATCCAAACTAAAAAGTTGAGTATGAATAAACCCCAAAAGTGATATTAGTCAAACTTAATGTGATCCAAAATAGATTGAATTTGGATAGCAGAATGCAGTTATAATCGCGTGTTAAAGTTTAAAAGCTTACACTTCTAAGTAAGTAAAACGCTTATACGATAATCACGCTTTTCACTTACTAGTATAGTCAAAATCTACGACTTAAATCTTAAAAACTTATGCTTTTACACTTCTAGGTCACCAAAATACTTCTATATAGAATCACGCTTTTAACTTCACTGGATAGTACCAAAAAAAATTTGGTCTTTTTTGTCATCCCTACACACAACCCCAACAAAATAATGTTAGAAATATATTGCTATGATCCTATTCATTTCTTTATATTGAAAACAACTTTGGACAACATGAAACCGGCTACATAACTAATTGGACGACCAGCTAATGTATCACAATCTGATCACACTGTAACATGATAATGGGAATTCAGTATCAGTTGGGACTTGGGAGGATACTCAGGATAGCCCAAAAAGAAGCTTTCCATCTACCTCAACATCGGTAATGAGCGAACTAGACAGTCAGCCAACACCATTTAATTTTGTGGCCCTTGGGATTGGATATGGCATTGGCAGGCAACCATATACATAACTCGCCCACTGGGAATTACAGAGAAACTATCACTCACAACACGTACTATTATGATTAATGAATACAATTGCTCAACTACATACTCTGTCGGCAAGGACCCTCGACGGCCGCTTGGTGGTCGTTTTGGTGCCCATAAAGATGGTTATGATGTGTACAAGTCTTGGTTATCATATGATCTATCACTTTAAGGAAAAGTCCGGTAACAATATAGTTGTTATCGTGACCAGTGCTACGACAAATGTATTGTAGACGTAAAGATAGTCTTTCAACGTTCATAGTCGAATATTAGGTGAGTAAGGTCGACATAGTGTACAGAGCAGTGTGGGCAAATTCATATATGGATATGGATCAAAACCCCCTCCCTCCCCCCTCTTCGCAGATCCGAGACCTAAAGAAGTCACAAGTGATCCATAGGCTTGAGATTTATCTAAATCAATGCAGTCAAAATCGCGCTTTAAAACTTACAGTTTTACATTTCTAGGTCACCAAAACGCTTCTACGCAATATCACATTTTGTATAGCTAATGTAGTTAAAAACCCGTTTTAAAACTTACAGATTTACAATTTTACACTTCTAATTCTAATGTATTTAAAAACGAGAATAATTGGGGTTCTCTAGTCACAAGTATTTTCCCCCGTTTGTTTGTTTAGGCAGAAAAGCAATCGAGGGGTAGTCAGCCGGACAAGTAAATTCCCAAGGCATTAGATTTTGACGGCAGTGTTGTGTTGAGAGATATGTCGGCCAACTGATACGAAAAGAAGAACGTGCGGAAGGGAAACGAGAGTATATCAAGGTTGTCAAACCGGTTTATACCGGTGTGCCGGTTTTGTAAGTGGAATGGTCTGACCGTGGTACAACCAGTATTCATGCCGGTTGTGCCGGTTTTAATAAAATACATGAGAAAAATGGAAATCCTCAATTCCAAATAAATTAGTCATGAAAAAGCAATTAGAAGAATTATTTCACACAAAATAATTTATAGCTAAGAATTGGTAACTAATACTAAACAATTAGATGCTTAAAAATAAAATTTTATTAAATGAATTTTATTAATGTTTATAATGATTTGTGTAAACTTTAGTATTAAATATATAACATATAAGGTCAATATAGACAACAAAATTGTTTATAGCCTACTGGTGTGTAAGTTAAACTAAAATAAACATGTGGTACTTGGTTCAAATCCCATGGATGATGTTTATTTTTTTATATAATGTGTGTAACATTAAATTCCGGTTTATGGTCTAACCGGCCGGAATTTCCGGATTTGACCGGAACTGACCGGCATTGACCGGATTTGACCACACTTAAATACCGGCCCCTTTCCAGCCGGTTTGCTGACCGGTACCGGTTGAACCCGGTTGAACCGGCGCATGAAACCGGTTTGACAACCATGGAGTATATATAGCTGTAAACTTGGAATCAAAATTGTTGCTTTCCCCGACCCAGCCTAGCTATCTAGCTGTGAAATCCGCCGCTCTCACTTCGCTTGTTATTAATGCCGACACATGATCTCATCACATGAGCTGGTAGTGGTAGTATTATGCAATTGGAGCTAATTGATTTGAGACCTCAACTTATTTTGCGTATAAACCCCACACCTTTGAAAATTTTCTTTCTTTTTCTGATCAATGTATGCGACCGACCTCTTGGTTCAACGTTATTAGGAAGCGCTGGTGGGTCAGTCTGGAGTGAGTTGCCAGAAAACATTCACATTCTCATTTTCAAAATCGCAAAATCCGTATCCATATTTATATTGGGTGGGAGGTTTTGCAGTCGTATCTCCATCTTATCGATTTATGGATACATACAGTTAAGTTTGGTCTCGTATGTCTAGTGAGATTCTACATGAATTTAATTAAAAAATAAAAGTAATTCTTGAGTTAGACATCAGATGGAGATAATAAACTATTAATTCGATAAATATAAAATAATTCATAATACGAATTTAAATTAATCATTCCTACAACATCCATTAATTCATAAGGGAACATACTGTAAATAAACAAATTAAATCAAAACCATTCATCTCCTAAACATTTACTAAGCAACAAAAACAAGCACAACAATCTTGTTGACAAGAGGCAATCGGTGGATATGAAGAAAGACACAGAGAATAAGTGGAGGGATTGAGAAATTAGCGTCTAGAAACTTATGCTTTTTCTCTTATGAAAAAATAGAATTGTGCTGCTTCGTGATTGAAACATAAATAATATTACAAAAAAAAAACACACACACACAAATAATTCAGCCCCCCTTTTCACCCACTAAATAAGGCCCTGTTCACTTCCATTTTCGTTTCCTATTTTCTGTTTTCATGTCATAAATTTGGCAATAGAAACGAGAAAACTTGTTTACTTTTCATTCTGTTTTTTATTCGTTTCCAACTATGAAAACAGAAAGTGACAACTTCCTGTTGTTTTCGGAAACGACAAAATGTTGTTTGTTAGAGAGGGTATAAGATCCAGCAAAACCTTCTCCCAACAACTCGAGTTATTGGGAGCAACTGGTTCTTGACATGGTATCAGAGCCTAGAACCGAAAGGTCACGTGTTCGAATCTCCACGACCCCCAATATTAACCGTTGTCTTTCAAGCACATGGTATGGTGGGCCTGTGCAAACTTCAAGCCCATGAGTTGGCTTTCGTTTGAGGGGGCGTGTTAGAGAGGGTATAAGATCCAGCAAAACCTTCTCCCAACAACTCGAGTTATTGGGAGCAACTGGTTCTTGACAGTTTTCACATGTTTTCAACATTTATTTTCTTAAAAACAATAAACAGAAATGAAAGTAAACAGATCCTAGAAGAGAATGAGAAGCGGGCCGTGATTCGTTGAAATGAAAAGCGGGCCAGTTCGATGAATGAGTTTCCGCTTCCAATTTGGGCCCAATTTAAAACTTTGTTCTTGATTAAAAATAAAATATTTCTGGAAAAATAAGGACTAAATAGTAATACAGAAAATCGAGGGGGAGAAGAAATCGATCGAGACCACAGAAGGAAGAACATTAAGCGCCCCAGTCGCCGCCGTGCTCACTTCCGTCAGCCATCGGAGCTCGTTGTATCGGAAGAGAGAGAGAGAGAGAGAGAGAGAGATATAACGTTGGATACCGAGCAGGTGGAGAAATAGAGCTGGCTCGGTAGACTGGAGCCACCTGCGGATCGCGTGGGAAAAGAGAGCGGGTCGGCAAAAGGGAGCAGGATTACCTTCGTTCTCCGGTGCATCGAAGCTCTCCCTGCGCAACTTCGATGTCTTCCCCCCGGTAACGAGCTGAGCTAAATCTAAGGTATTTCGCCTCGAGGTCAGATTAGCTACATTGCGGAATGTTTCCTCGATGAGGTCCGAGGTTCTCGTTATCCGTTCCAGTTTGTGGCCTGGATCGGGTTTTGTTGTACTTTGGACATTGTGTTGTGCTTGCATTTGTGTAGAATTTCCGCCTGCATAAGTTAAATGCCTTTGTTGATTCCTTGTATATATATACCTATATGCTCTTGTTCTGCAATAGCTTTTCTTTTATGTGTGTGAATTCTGCAATAGCTTTGAATAGTCCTTGCTGTTGCTGCACTTGAAAATCTTGATAATTTGCTGTATTTTAAGTGTGGGTTTAGCTTGTATTGTTCAAGGGATGCCTCTGTCATCTTCCATTCTGATTCAGCAATGTGTATATGTGTTGGAATCACAGTTTTTGGCACAGCTTGACTCGTTTATAGTGAAAGCATGTTTGATTTTCTTGATATATGCCTTTGCCGCTCATTTATACATGTGAGCAAAGTTTGGGAAGCTGTGTGCATGAGATCTGGTTTTTTGAGTAGAAAAGGTGAAGTAGTTACCTGCCATTGTTTGCATGTGGACTCGTTACATGTGCTGCTGTGAATTGTTGGTTTGCCATGAGTCAAATATGTATAATTTTCCCATTCCGGATATTGTCTTCTTTTCCCCTCTAAGGTTGACAATAGTAGGATTTAGCAATAAATGTAATCTGTTTCTGCCAATGTTCGTACTTTTGCGGCTTGTGTTTTCTTTTTACTCATTACTGCTCAGTATTTGTGTAAATCCTCCAATAGATGACCCTCATTCATCATCCTCCAATGTTTTTTCTTGTCTTGATATTTTTAATCTTAAAATAGATAGAGTGTTTTATCTGCTTATAAGTTGGTCACTATTTCATCAAGTGAAAGGTAATCAGTTAGTCTGCTAAAATCATTTTATGCCAGGAAGATTATTGATAGCTCTATGTGCTTCTATCTCCTTAGTTTCCAGTCAGAGAGTTATCCTGCTCTACTGTCTACCAGAATTCTGTTTTTGTTCTCATATGGGTTTTGCTTTGCTTGGTTCTGTAGATTGCTGCTGCTAATGAAAGTATTGGGTGGGAAGAAGTATACAGATGCTCATATTTTGCTTAGACAATATATATTCTTTCCTGACTTTATGTGTCCTCCTTTGACATAGGAATATTTGGTAGCATAGGGCCAACATGGGTGAATGCAATTTGACCTTCATTTGCCTTTTCTCTTGCCAGTGGTCAAGTTTATTATGTGGTGTTTTACTACTACTGATAAAAATAATGGTTCGTGAGATTTAGGGTTGGATGCAAGAATCTTGGTTAGTTAATTCTCTATCTAATATATATATATTTTTTTTTGTTCTTGGTAGGTAATCTATTTCAACAAGCACCATGGAAGCTGACTCCCTGGATTTGCCACCTGAACCCTTACCGCCATCTAGTGATCCACTATCCAACAAGTTTGCCTCCCTCAATGACCTGGCTTATGAGCTGGCATCGCTCCAAGACCTTTCCAACCGCGGTTCTTGGAGGTCAATTCTCGATAAGGTTGCTCGAGCACGGTCTCTCTCCCTTCTCATAACGCCTCACGACCACCTCACGTATTTGGCTTATAACGTCCTTGCTTTCACTAAGCTTCGACGTTTCAAGGAAGCTCTGACAGAACTTGAAACGGTTGATGATTTCGATAGTCACCACTACCAGTATGAAACTTACCCCAAAATCTACCCGGACCGGTCAGGTTCCATGGTTCCTTTCTCCCTCAGGTGGCTTTACGCATTGGTTCCTATAAAATTGGGTGACAGACAAGAGGGATTGGACCGGCTGTACCTTCTGCTTGACTTTGTTCGAGGTAAGATGAAGGAAAAGGAGGAGGCAGCCGCTTCACTCGAGGTCTGGAGAAAGAGAGAGGTCTTTGTTGTGAACAACATTGTTACAGAGCACTTGAAAGGTAAAGAGCATGGGGTGTGTTTGGATTTGATCAAGTGTCTGCTTGCTCGGGGGAACTCGGACCCGCATTTGTTGTCGAAATTAGGGTACATACAGATGCAAATTGGGGACCTAGAAGGCGCTAAGGGCTCGTTTGCTGATGTGGAGAAACAGAAATCGTTGAATGATGCAGAATTGATGAATATGGTAAGCAGGAACAAGGCTTTGATGTACTTGGTGGAGAAGGATTATGTCTCTGCTGTGAGGGAGTACGACGAATGCATCGAGCGGGATGCTATGGATGCTGTGGCGATCAACAACAAAGCGATTTGCTTGATGTACTTGAGGGACTTGTTGGATTCGATAAAGGTGCTGGAGAGTTCGCTCGAGAGGGTGCCCACGGTGGCACTGAATGAGACCCTCGTGGTGAACCTGTGCAGCATGTACGAGTTGGCTTACGTTAATCACTCCGATATCAAGAGAACGTTGAGCAATTGGATTTCGAAAGTTGCCCCTGACGATTTCGATTCCTCTTGTACTAGGATTTGAGGTGCTTCCCGTTTCTCCGCTGCTTGTGCCCTCCTTTACGGTGTTATTGACCGTGTTCTGTCGAACTTGCTTTTGGGTACTACAGGAGGTTAATTCTCTTTTTATTTGGTCGACATGATTGTAAAGCTCTGGTCTGACTTCGGTTTATCAGGTAGTGCTGCGACATTCTGTAAATTCTTCAAAAGATGTTACCACATTGAGGTAGATGCCCAGTCCCCAGATTTGTAGCGAAACCTCGCAGCATAACGTGAGAAGCATCTCACGAATTGAATGTGCATCAATACAATGACTTGCACAACCAGATCGTTTCAAGTTTGTGGCGACTTACAGAAGCTTATATAGCCACAGTCTGATATGGTATAAGAGGACGGCAATAGGCCGGTAAAGAAACACTTTGCAAACTACTTGCAAACTATTTGGGCAAATAAAGCGAGACGGACCGACACGACAACTCAAATGCTCTTCATAGAGAAAACCAAAAAGAAAAATCAGAAAAGGCGGGAAACACAAAGCTTGGTTGGGGAGCGTGACCGAGAAGCTTTGTTTTCCGATTAAAAAAAACAAGCCCTAATTAAAATTGGGCGCCTAAATCGTCAACCTACTTACTCGCGTCCTCTACTCCTTTCCTTCCCTCCCGCTTCCCATCTCCTACTCCACTTTCCCTTTCGCCACTGTCTCCTCTCCTCTCTTCTCGTACTCGCCGCCGCCACTTTCTCACCTCCAGCCATGGTCGTGCTTCGGTCCCGAACAGTCACTCCACAAACCCTAGCCAAAGACAGCACTCCCTGTCCCTCCGTCATCAAGCAGTCCCCAGCCGTTCCTCTCCTTGTCTCTCCCGCCACTCCTCCCCTCTCCGCTTCCCGGCGGAGCGGCCGACTTGCCTCCAGATCGCCGCCCACCGATGAAACCCCTCTGACTACCGGGACCAAGAGGAGGAGGAGGAGGAGCACTTCAGCCGGTGTCTGCTCGATTGCGAAGAATAAAGCGGTCGATGAAGGGAATCCGGCGGCGGATGTTGTGAAACAGGAAGCGGAAGAGCCTGAAGCTTCTCTCCCTGTCTCTCCCGCCACTCCTTTCCTCTCCGCTCACCGACGGAGCGGCCGACTTGCTTCCAGATCGCCGTCCATCGATGGAACCCCTCATACCGCCGGGCGCAAGAGGAGGAGCGCTTCAGCTGGTGTCAGCTCGGAGAATGAAGCGGTCGATGAAGGGAATCCGTCGGCGGAGGGAGTTGCTAGTGAAGGTAATGTGATTGCTGATGGGGTGAAACAGGAAGCGGGAGAGGAAACCCCTCAGACTACCGGGCGCAAGAGGAGGAGTGCTTCAGCCGACGTCGGCTCGATTGAGGAGAATAAATCTGCCGTGGAAGAGAATCAGGCGGCGGAGAGAGTTGCTGAGAGGGTTAAACAGGAAGAGCAGGGAAATGATGGGAAAGGTTTGAGTTTGGAGGAGAATCGGAGTGTGAAGCGCACTAGAAGATGGACCAGCGAAGAGAAAGGGAAGGGGAAATTGGGGGAAGTGGGTGCGATTGATGTGAGAAATGGGGAACTACGAGTTCCAGGAACCTTGATTATCGACGAGGGCCGGGCTGAGCGTGAAGGAAGGCAAAACCCTAGTCGTCAGCCTTCCACAGTGGTCACGGAAAAGGCTAGCAGAGAAGAGGAAGAGAGATTGAAAGAACGAACAAAGGATGCACTGTCGAAGAAGACCGGATCCGGTTCTCGAATGGACCAGTTCAAGGATGCAGCACGAAAGAATGCTGCTCGATTTGCTCATTTCGAAGCTCAAGAGCATCTGGAGGCGGCTCCTCCTGGTGTTGAAGCAGCTGAGCAATCCACTGAGGGAGATGATGAGAAGGTTGAAGATTGGCCAGGTCCATTCTCGACTGCGATGAAAATTATTAGGGACAGGTCAAATAGGATGAACTTGCAAAGTGAGAAACCCACTTCTGACAAGGCCAACTCTGTTGCAATAAATTGGACTCCTAGAGGAGATGTCGGTGGCTGTAATCGCTCAAGAACTTTGGTTCCTTCGTTGGAACAGCTGTGCATGGAAGGTCTTGCCAAAAATGCTGATGCAATCACTTCACTTGACTGTGTTCCTGATGTTTTCAGGCACAGGCTTTCCCAGTTGCTTTGCGATTCTCGAAAGATGAATACACATTTTCTGAATCTTCTTGCCTGTGGCTCTCCTTCTGAGTTACGAATCAGGGATTGTTCCTGGCTAACGGAGGAAGAGTTCACAGATTGCGTCCAGGGCCTTGACACCAGCAACTTAACGGTATGTTTAAATGAAAGCTTCAATGATCACTAGCACTAGACTTTAAAGTTGGAATAAAGTGGTGAGTTGGGTATGTATGACTGAATCTCGTGTGAGCTAGAAATCAATGTTTACATAGTATGGCAATGCCCCAATCTCATTGCTTTCTTTATTATCAACGAGTAAACTTCTTATGAAGCTGACTTGCGTTTTGTCTTTCTTTTCAGGTTCTTCAACTTGACTATTCTGGGCGAGGCATACCTGATTATGTTTTACATTCTACCTTAGCCGCGTCTCCAGGCAGCATGCCTGTATTAAATACTTTATCCCTGAATGGTGCTTATCGCCTTTCAGATATTGGACTTAGATCACTTGTTTCTGCAGCTCCTTCCCTAAGATGCCTGAATCTTAGCCAATGCTCCCTTGTTTCTGCAACTAGTATAAGCATTTTGGGGGAGTCATTGGGTTCTAGGTTGCAAGAACTGTACCTTAATGACTGCCAAAGCATTGATGCTATGCTTATGTTACCTGCATTGCTGAAGTTTGAAAATCTTGAAGTTCTATCAGTGGGTGGTATTGAGACTGTCTCTGATGACTTCATTACGTGCTTTGTTGCTGTGTGTGGCCATGCGACGAAAGAGCTTGTTCTTTCTGACTGTGTGTAAGCATCTTTGATAATCTATCTCCCGTCAAGTTTTCATATTTCCACTTGTTTTTTATGCTGACTGTCGGAAATATGCTGCAGGAAATTGACTGATTCTTCCTTGAAAGCCATAGCTACAGCATGTCCTCGCCTGCACTCACTCAACCTTTCAAATCTGAGGCAGTTGACTGATTCTGCACTGGGATATCTTGCAAATGGGTGTCAAGAAATACAAACTTTGAAACTTTGTCGCAACAATTTCAGGTACATTATATCACGATTTGGAAATCTTTCAGTCACGGATTTAAGTTATTGATAGTTTCCAGGGGCATTGGTATTTTTTGGGAACTTCCCATCTTTTTGTTCCTGTTTTTCGGCTTACTGAAACTCAATGAGGAGTTCTTTCTAATGCTCCCTTTCTCTTGTTCTTTTTGAACAGTGATGAAGCTATTGCAGCATTCATAGAAGCCTCTGGAGAGTCATTGAAAGATCTTTCCCTGAATAATGTCAAGCAGGTGAGAGTTTATCGAAGTCAGCTACATAGAATTGTATCAAACTCAATGTTCATAAATTTTCCTTTTTCCTGTTTAAATTATGATGGTTTGACTCGACACATAGTCCATTTTTTCAATTCAATTTTGATTTGGTTGTGGACCAAATGGGCTCTTGTCTTCTTAATCTGTTCTCTTATGTTTGTTATCAGGTTAGTCACAACACTGCACTATCAGTTGCTAGACGAGCAAACAATTTGCAGAGTTTGGATCTATCGTGGTGCCGGAACTTGGCAGACGAGGCGGTTGGGTTGATTGTGGATAGCTGCCTGTCACTGAAGGTGCTCAAGATCTTTGGGTGTGATCAGGTAAACAGATGTATAAAACAAAAAATCCGACAGAACAATTTTTCCATCTCATTTGAAACACCTGACATGGGTGATTGTGTTTTTCTTCTGGAACAGCTGACGGATGTGCTACTATCTGGTCACTCGAATCCAGTAGTGGAAATCATTGGGATGAAGATGTCTCCAGCATTAACAAATGTCAGAGTGATTGATGCACAGGCCTTCGCTGTCCATTATTCATCAGTGCTCTCCTCCATGTGATTCGAACCTCTGTTAGATATGGAAGGTCGACCTGTTTGAACCTAGTTAGTGGTAGTAGGATGTTTATTTATTTACTCTCGATTAAGCAGGTACTAAGAAGTAAGAAGCCATTTTAAAGATCACTGCATGTAAAGACCTTCCTGTTTGTCTCAAAGGTGGGAAGTAAACCTCAAATTTTGAAGGATGTATTAAACTGAAGTAGTCACTGGTAGCAAGCAATGAACAGCAGCATTATGTACAAAAATATGTTGTTCTGAAACTGTATTAGATCGATACATGGTATTGGTATGCTTCCCTCTCAAGAAATGTCTGTGCATAGGTTGGTGCTGAATTGCCAAATCTAAGTCTACACATTATCAGATCAAATTCCTGTCAAAACTAGTACTAAACTCTGGCCTACGCAGTGTTGGTTCTCTGATCTGTACACTGAACTCCTTGGCTGTATTCACCAAATCTGTACTCATCTTTACAAGCTGCGACATAGGAGGTAAGTGTTGTCTTCCACCAGTCCTTCACTTGCCTCTTCAATCATCTGGCAGACATATAATCGAAGTCAGAAAGACAGGACAAACAAACAAACAAGAACCAAGCTGAGTAACCAGGCAGCAACAGATAAATAACCTCAAATCCCATCTTCTCAAAAAGCTGCAGTGCAGGTTTGTTGTTTCTATCCACATGAACGTACATAACTTCCACACCTGCCACCAGAATCAACAATATTCACAACTTAAGCCTTATGAACTGTAATAACGAGCCATTTCTAAGTTTATATCCTGTGATTTTAATACCTACCATTAGACTTGGCCGTTTCAATTGCAAACTGCATCATGTTAGTTGCTATCCCATGACGACGAGCAAACCTCGCGACCGTCAAATCGGAGACGTAACCGTATCTGCCTAGAGTCTTTCCATATACCCCAGGGAAGATCTCTCCAGGCAGCAACCAGCGGATGCTCAAGTCCAGAGTCCCAACCACACTTTCCACTATTGTGGGTCTCACCATCCCAACTTGCTTTCTCAGCTAAGTAAAGAAACAACGAGGATGACTTTGTAATGTTTCCCCTCATGCTGCTATGCAAAAATATAAAACTCTAGACCAAGGAAGCACGTACTGTGATTATGCACTTAGGCTGTTGGCCAAATGGACCAATGGATTGCCTTCTAATGGCAAGGAACTCCCGCCACCCCTTAAGGAAACAGAGCCAGTAAATAGATAATTCAGTGGAATCCTTGTTTATACCAGAAGAAGCCAACTGAAGAAGAGTAAAGAAAAGTCCACATAAAAGTCCACAATTGCTACCTGATTCGCAGCTTCCGCCTGCAGACTAGGAGCAAATCTGTGTTCATCAGATATACGCCAAAATCATTAGGGTCTTACTACTGGTCTTAACCTTAACAATGAACCATTCAATCCAAATGCACTACAATCAAGTTTTCAAGTAAAAGGCGATCAATTTGAACCAGCAAGTGGACAAGAACAGCATGAACACGAATCAAGGAATAGGACCACAACAATACAGAAATTGGGAATTAGTAAAATGCAGTTTTGATGGATTTTACCGTACTTGAATTCAGGTCGATCCTCCCAGTGGCTTAAACCTCGCATTAAGCCTGCCATCTGCGGGCAATTACAAGAAGCAAACATTGGAGTCATTGTTGCTTAACGGCAATGGCCCACGATACTGTGGCCAAGAATAGAAACAAGAAGTGCGAGGGATAACCAGATGATTCAGAAGGTTTCCTTCCAGAAAAAAAAATAGAACCCAGATGAAGGAACTCCAATTGCAGCAGAACGCAGACGGATAATCAACTGTGAAACGTTGTTTAGAAATAGAAAGAGGGCTTTACCCAGTATTCTTCATCAATTAAAGCCTCTCTAGCAACGAATTCCCCGAACTCCATCTTGTCAATGTCCACCAAATCCTGCTCGGGTATCTGCAGGCGGTGCTCATCAGGCCGAGTGGGCGTGTCGTCCCCTTTTGGATCAAAAGCTGCGGGGTGATGTATGTGTAGCGAAAGCTCTTCTCTCTTCTTGGTCAGGAAAGACCCAGAATTCATCGCCCTGAAACTCGGACGAAAGATATCCAAACAAGAACTGAATCAGGGAATTCCCGAGAGAGGAAAGAAAGAAAATCGAATCAATGGCGGTCACTAAATTTCCCACCCAATTCCCAGAGAGAAAAGAAGGAACAGAAAGAACCAAGCAAAGAAACAGAAAAAGAGAAGAGAAAGCGTCGTTAGATTCGTACATTCTCCAAGAAGCGGTGACAGTGGAGAGCTTGTGAATGCTTCTGGTTTTGGAGGAGGCCGGGGAGGTGAAGAGCATCGGCGGCGCGTGAATGGGAACAACGGTAGTGAGCATGGTAGCAAGAACTTCTGTGAATCGGCTTCCCGCCCAAGAATTTTGATCTTCTGAAGCAGAGAGAGCAGAGGAAGAAGAAGAAGAAGAGAGTGGAAATGGCGATTGCTTCCTTTCTGGCTGGTTGGTTCGTCGCTTTCCAAACTACACTCTCTGATACTCTCTGATTCTGTTGGTTTGTTGCAGAAGGGGAAAGCTTATAAAAGGAAGGAAAAAGGGTCGTCACCGTACCCGCCTGTAGTGGGTCCCAGCAACTTTTGATGAGCTGGAAAATAAATAATAAATATGTATATACTTATAATCCATTTACCTAACGTCCTTCCTAATTTTTCGCATTTACTGAAACAAATTTTGTGCCCTAAATGCACACAAGTTTTTAAGGCATGTTTCAATAAGTCGTAAGGCCAAGTCCAATGCAAAACCCCAAATATAGGGGCCTTGAACCCCAAATTTGGGGATTGGACCCCATTTTCCCTTCTTTTGCTCCAATGCAACAAACTCCATATTTGGGGTTCTTAATATTTCCAGTTTTTCCATTTATTGAAAAATGTACTTATCGAAACTTTAACATAATTTGTTCATGTTAATTTTTGTATAGTTCGTCATCATTTTTAAATACAAATTTTCCGATAGAATTTTGTTAAATTTCGAGACCGAATTTTTTTTAGCAAAAAATTATGGACCTAATTTGGGTTTACACACAACACTTGCTAATCATAAAGTTTAAATATTACACAAATATTAAAACACAAATTAAATACAATCTAAAAAGCCTAAATAAAAAAATAAATTTAATTCCCCTTTCCCTAATTAATTCAATTTAATTCCCCTTTCCCTAATTAATTACATTCAATTCTCTTAATCAAATTCCTTAATTAATTAATACCAGAAATTCGTAATTAATTCCCCTTCCCTAATTAATTCCCCTTCCCTAATTAACTAAACAATAATTAAAAAAAAAAAAAAAAAACTGGCGGCACAGCCGCTGAGGCTGGGCGGTGCGCCGCACGCGCAAGGGAGAGAGCTCTCTCCCTTGCGCGTGCGGCCCACCGCCCAGCCCCGGCGGTTGTGCCGCGCAGCAGAATCTCCTCCTCCATAAATGCCGAGTTCGGCATTCCCTCCCCCATATTTAGCGACCCAGATGCCGATGCCCTCCATAAATGCCGATTTTCGCCATTTTTTGGGTCTGCGTTGGAGCTCCAAAATCGCCATTAATGGCGAGAACTCCATAAATGCAGGCTGCATTGGAGTCAGCCTAAAGAAGGAAAAGTGAATCATCAGAAAATAGATGATCAATCCCTTGTTTGTAGTCAGGTTTTCATACATATTATTAATATCGTAAAGATAATCATATATTGAAAGAAAATCATAAAAAAAACCCACCAATACTGATCACATATGATCCTTTATTTAGTTGACAAAGTTCTCGGTAGCAATAATCTCACTCACTGCTACAAAACATAATAATGGAAAAACTAATTGAGTCGTTAACCAATCTTAAGCATGGATTAACAATATAATTGAGTCGTTAACCAATCTTATGCATGGATTAACAATATACTTGCTTTTTCCAAAATGAGACAAACAAATTGAAACCCAAATCCTAAACTGAAGTGTCATCAATGGATTTAAATATTTCGAGTGATCAAACTTGAACGTTTTTTGTAATCTCAATGACCAACCATGCAGTTAACCCATTACATTTAATTTAGAAAAAACAAAAACAAATTGAAAATGAAGCAAGTTAGAGCATGTCAGGACGAGGAGACTACCCGTTACCCACCGGTCCCACAATAAGTCGTCGTCGTACCCGCCTGTAGTAGGCCCCAACACCTTTTGACGAGGTGGAAAATAAATAATAAAAAATATATATTCTTATAATCCATTTACCTATACACCATTTTGCAACTGCTTTTTAATAATTTTCTGGTCATTTTAGCTACTAATTAATTATTCTAAGAAGTAATTTCATAGTTCTTCCATACACATAAAAGAAAGTTGCTCGTATATTGAGCAACTAATCTACATTTTATAATAATACATTTATCTCTTTCCTATCTTTAATGATGATTGATGCATGGTTCTACATATAAGCGTTTTGATAATTTAAAAATATAAAAGCGCAAGTTATAAATTTTAAAGCACAATTTTGTCTACATTGATCGTGATTAATTCAAATAAAAGATACCTACTTTTTGTAAATTTTGCTTGACTTATAACATAAATTATACGAAAATTATTAAAAATATAATAACCATATAGAAGACTATAACATGTTTTTTCTTCACCAATAAGATGATTGGTTTAGATTATGTTATAAACTATGCTCAATACTCAATAGTTGTCAGTCTTCTCGAATTATGCAAACACTACAAGTTGCTAGAAGGAATGAACCCATAGTCGTATAGAAGAATACTCAGATTACCTTGATTGATTTTTTTAAAAAGTTTCCTTGAAAATTGACAATACAAAAAAGTGTCTTACTGCAAAAATCGCTCGTGCAATTCTTTGCAATTGATGCGCGAATGAGAACGTGATCGAGTGGTCGTGCCGCTAGTTTTCAACCTGGAACCCCATATTCGAATCCCAGGGACAACGCTCGTTTCTACCCTCCCCCACCTTTTTAGTAGCACCCTGTAACATGTTCCTATAAATAAATAAATAATTCTTTGCCATTGATGTTTGGCAACAAGGGTAGACGTCTAGAATCCTCTAGTTTTCATAATCAGCGACTAAGCAGTGAGCCCAACTATTCTCAAGATTTTTCATGTTGCTCCATCATAGGATCAATGGCATAATCAAGACTAGAAATTGAGATGACATTGAAGAAGAGCATAAGCAAACAACACCTTGTAGCTCTCACGTTACACGACTTATCTCAAGTTTGGAGAACGAAGATCAACTACATTACATACACTAACCCGGTTTACTAACAATCAAGTATTGGCCAAGATAACTAATCTTTCAAAATGTCCCACTATTGGTAATACTGCCTAAATTAAATTCGATATATTGTTTCACATTCGTATATGTAATTTCTCACTACAAAATAGGTGACAAATCAGTATTAACATATTACAAGTTTATCATATTATAATTTAGCCACCACATCAGTGACCCCATCAATCAAACAAAGGGAAAAAACACACAATAATCAGCTAAACACACTTTCAAAGGTTTTCAAACACTACCCTTCGAAATCAGTTTTGGTCCACTTCCCCTGCAACTTCTCCCCAGACTCCACAACCTTCAACTCCGCCCCATTCCCCGTCGCCAATTCCTCCTCCTCCTGCACCCTACTAGCCATCCGCCGTCTGCTGCTCCGCCGCTTCCTCCCCATAGCGTCGAGCTCGGCCTCCAGCCCCTCGTACTCCCTCACCCACCAGTAGCAGTGCAGCGCAATGGTGGCGGTGCGTTTAGAGTTCTGGCGACTCCTGGGAATGTACAATCATAAGGTCTGGGTTTACAATCGTCTCGATCCTGTCCAAGGAGGCGTCAAGTCGTCCGGTCTTCATGTTGAACAATGACTCGTCCTTGCCCAAAGCCCTGTGCCACCCAAGTTTCCTTCCATCAATTAAGAGGAAGAAAAAAAGTAACACTTACAGTTTATGACTAATATGCACTATAGGTGCTAACCACAAGTTAACCACCGTGCTGCACATAATTTGATGACCACATACTAAAACAGTAAACTGGAGTAGGCTGCACATCAGTAAAGCTATGTCTATAGCCCTTAATTTATATATACCATATAAATGAAGTAAGAGAAGAAGATCAAGGGAGAACTTGCCCTGTAACTTCAGGGAGGACAAAATCTGCTCGCCACCCGAACCTGAAATCTAGACCCGGGAACAAACCGAGTGTCGTCTTGTTCCGGATTCGAGATATACCATCACCTCCCAGGCACGTGTTAAGCTTCCACTGCCAAGCAAGGGCATTCGTCTTGAAGTTATGGCCGATGCCCACCTGTAACTTTAGAGCTGAGCAACTTCTATAAAGTAGCAGAGATCTGGAAAAAAGAACCGGCTGTAGTAAAAGTACTTTGCTGTACTAAACCATTCCTTGCATCAAATCCGAAAAGCAGAGTGAAGGAAAAAATGAATCTTACAAAACCTGTATGTTTAGAAATTTGGTCAAAGGAATCTTTTTGGACTGAATACGGATTTCCTGACGTATAGGCTTGCATATGAACTTCCATTGCCGCTCTGCTGATAATGGCTTCAGGACAAGCATAGTTTGGACATCATTAATGGGAGCATTGTAGAACTGGGTAAGAAAATAAAAGGAAGAGTCCATGATTTACAATACATAGAAAATGATATCTTTTTCATAAACGATGAATGAGAATGAAAGGAGGAAACACGCTGAAATCATCCACAAGAGATGTGGTGCATTGTTTCATGAAGTCCACAAAGACTGACCTGAGATAAACACTTGAATTACAAACGAAGGGTTCAAACTTCAACATTAGCAATTCACTTGCACGTACCACTTATAATGCAACCAGATAGAAACAACACACGTTTTCTCTTTCCCTAAAAGGCTTAAGATGTACAGATTCTAGAGGTTTCAACAGTGAACGGTGTACTTTAAGAAGTTGAACTCGTCCATGGAATTCTAATTTTGATACTGATACTGATCTCATTTCAGGGTTTATTTCTTTCAACATCAACGAGAAGCAGCAAGCTGAGTGTCTTCTTATCTATTGAAAGTTGAAACACCCGAAAACAGAAAGTGAAGCAGTAGGCAAATTGCCTTCTATTTCTCCTGACACATATACCTCGTTTAATAAAGGATACAGTGTAGCTTTTGCAAAAACATAATAGCATCCTTTCATGCATCACACCCCCATAACTTTTCACAATATTACACAGACAAAGGAGCCACATTTATACAGTTTCCCCAAAGTTTGAGGCTTCTTTGATATCCCTAATCCCACTATTCTACACTTCAATCAATGAATACTAACATAAACTATCTTTGATTAGTTGCAGACATGCGCAATTCACAAAACTAGGCTACTGGGTAAGATTCTGGGTTAGGACAGAAGTTATAGCATTTCCAAAATATGCCCCATACAATTCACTGCACCAATTCTTAGAACAGTAATTGCCTAACTAAAGCTGAATTCTCATGTACCCAGACGAAGGAACCCAGTAGTCATTCCAGTAAACGAAAGGACACGAAATCAAGGAGGAAGCAAGGGCGGAATTGAAATGAAGAGTATACCTCCAGATTGACACCAATCCGAATCCCTTCAATTTCTTTCCTGAACTTGAAAAACAACTCTGAAGGAACCAAATTGATGTCGCAGAGCTCATCCCATGAAGCTGGTTCGTCCTGGCTTGGCAGACCCGGCTCCATCATTCTTCAACTTCTGCTTCTTCTTCGTCCAGCTATCTGACAGCTACAACCCCACCTAGTGAGAAAGAGCAATCAAACTCGACTCAGCAGAAACCAAAAGTCTTCCCAACTCCTGCAATTGCATCATCTGATTCCGAACCGTAAGCAATTCACATTAACTGGCAAGCTGCAGTCAGCGCTGCGAGGTTACACGAGAGGGACACTGAATTCTGTAGCCGGAGAGTGGAGTAAGTCCACCAATTCCAGGGCTTATTACTCCTCTTTTTTTTCTTTTTTCTTTCTTTCTTTTTCTAAATAACAAATGGGGCTAATTGCATGCTTGGTCACTGACATTACAAAAACGTTGACGTTTAGTAACTGTAAATATTTAAATTCAATCTTGGGCACTCAAATTAATTAAATGCAAGGTTGTCAACCCGGGGGGTCGACCCACTTTGACCCTGACTCGATGAGAAAAACGGGCCGCACGCACCTGCTAGGTCGACCGATATAAGGTATCGGTGTTGGATGTCAAATTGTGTCATTTTTTTCTTTGGTTTGCGAAATGCGCCTATTTTTCGATTTTTTCTTTTCACCTAACTCAATCTTTGGAATCTTTGGTTGATCATTTGAATATTGATGTTATATAAGTGTGTGTGAATTTTCACTATATGTTGGATCTAAGTACGACATGTTACTTTGGTGTAATGTTATATGTTATTACTCATATGTTAGATGAGATTTGATAAAATTTATCAGGATAAGTACAATATAATGACTCTTTTCATATTTCCGGGCTGAAACGGGCTAAAACGGATGATCCATTAACCCTTGACCCACTAGCTCGACAGGGTCCGAGTCAACCCGCGGGTTGACAACCTTGATCCAAACCTATCGAAATACTAAGAATTAGTCAAATATTAACTTCCAATTAGCAATTTTGTTAGTAATATTGACTTGGCAACATGATACTGACTTGGAAGAGACACATGAATGTCAACATTTCAAATTTTAGTATTTTTACTTAGAAATAATTACAAAATTATCAACGATAACGTAAAAATGGCTAATATTTTGATGCATTACGAAAGATTTGGCTGATTAATAGTATTTTAATAGGTTTGAATAGTATAAAAGAATCTGAAAAGATTTGAATAAAAAATAGACATTATCCAATATTTAATTAATTCAATTCATTTGATTACAAGCAATTGTATCGATGGATTCATGGATCGTTGACAAGTTACAGTTAAGTACCTGTATTTTTATATATTTTACAATTTGGTATCTAAATTTATTTTTTTTACAAAAAAAAAAACAATTGAAAATTATGTTTTTGTACCTAATTTTTTTATTATGACATTTTATTAACAAAAATTTTCAAAATTTACATATTGGTCCAAGGCGTGGATGTTATTTGGATCCACCACTATATATTATCTGATCTATGAATCCGCCGATCCATTTGATTCATGAATCTACCAATCCAATTCACCAATCTACGGATCTAATGTATTTACCACCTATAGGTGTAAGGCAACATGCAAGACACCCGGTATGACCGTACTCACCACTCCAACCAAGACTCAATTATGTTAGTATATTGGGCGAGATGAACTTGCTAATTTTGTAGCGGTGTGCACTGGTCCGGTTCGGACCGGAGTAAACTAATGAGAACTGTGGTTCAATAGTGAAAGGCATATTAGCATCAAGGGCGGATCAACAGTGCATTCCATCTTATTTGGTCTGGTTTGGTCCGATTAAAATTTCAATTCAGTTCATTTTTCTCAATATTAATTGAATTCATAGGACCAAAGACCGAATCACAAGAATTGGTTTGGTCTCGTGCGGTCCGTTACGGACCAACCCGTTGCAGACCACTACTACCATCTTTTATGTAATCTAATTATCAGTTTTACTTTTATATCTAACTATATAAATAATGATTGATGGTCAAGAGAAAATTTAATATTGATAATGTATATACAAAATTAAACAAGTAATTCAAATTCCAATATCTCTCTCACCATCTGCAACAGCGTAGCGCGAATGTTTTTCTAGTAATATTTAAATGCAAAAGCTCTATGCAAAATATGATGGATGCTAGCAATGGATTGACGATTTTGAAGGGCCCTCTCATGGTTCACGTAACGGGACGATACCATATTGAACTAACATGTTTCTATCTTTCGAAACGTTCAAAGTTGGAGACTACATGAATGGGGAAATGGGGAAGAGTAAAGGGTAGGAATGGCAATGGGCAGGTCCGGGGAGGTTTTTTGGTACCCAAACTCGCTTCGTGGCAAGTCAGGTTCAGGTCGGGTAATTTATCAGGAGTTGCGGGTCGGGGTAGGTCGACCCAATGTGTATGCAATTTATATGAAAAACATTATAAATATTTGTTATTTTTATTATAAGACCAAGAAAAAAAGAATATTATGATAAATGTAGTTATATTATTAAAGAAATTGAGGTTTTCACTAATTTACAACTTTATTATAGCTAAAATATGATGTAATAAAAGAAAAATCATAAGTAATTTGACTAAAATTACATGTAATTTAGTCAAGAACGGATCGAGAGTGGGGCGGGTCAGGGCAGGTCAGGTCGATGACAGTACACATGCCCGCCCTGCCCCACCTACGGAACGAGTCGGACTTGCCCCAAAACAGGTCAAATAGGTCGGGTATAATGAGTTAGGTCGAAATTGCCATCCCTAGTAAAGGGTACCAAAGAGCTTCTGGTGGAAAGAAGACGAGGCGAAGAAACTAAGTCAAGATTTTAACCCTAAAATCCATGTCCGTTGGTTATTTATAAAGTGAAGCTGTCTTGCCCAATGAGCCTAGATATGTTGTTGTGAAGGAGTTGTCTTGCCCAAGGAGCCTCAAGATCATGCACCACTAGAATTATGATTCTATTAGAGTATGAGTACTATTATAGAGTAATATTCCGTATTTGTTTGGGTTTTCATGTTAGAGTATTAGAAGGAATGTGTTTTCCTTATTAGCATTAGGTTATAATGGGAGTAGGTCATTTTAATCTCTATATAGACACTTTGTGGTGTCAGTAATAATAGACAACAGTTTCTATTGTATTCTGATTTTTCCAACAGATTCCTCCCGACATCCCCGCTTAGAAAGTGAAGCTGCTACTCGCGTGCCAGGTCCACTTGGTGAGTTTTCCAAGCGAAGTTGAACTTGAATTAACAATCATCAATCTTTGGTTTGATAAAAGGGTAATGACTAATTATTAACCAAACCGTTCCCTTTTTTTATTAGTAGCCAAACTTATCGAATTACTAATTATTAGCTAAATGTCAACTTTCAGTTTGCAATTTTGTTAGTAATATTGAGTTGACAACATAATACTGATATGGAAGAGACACATGAAAGTTAATATTCCAAAATTTTAGTATTTTAGTTAAAGGTCCGATCGTTTCGGCCCCATTTAGCCCATACATTAGAAAAAGTCATTATAATGTTTGTACATATGTAGATTATATCAAATCTCATCTAACATATGAGTAATAACACATAATATTACACCAAAATAACATTTCGTACTTGGATCCAACATATAGTGAAAATTCACACACATTTATATAACATGAATTCAAATATTCAATTTCCAAAATATGAGTTAGACGAAAAGGAAAATAAAAAAAGATAGAATTTGATCTCCAATCTAATACCTTGCAACGATCGACCCGACGCATCGATCAGCGAGTTGACAACCTTGATTTTCCCCCATCTTTCCGACTATTTCTAATTCTCCCCCCATCTTGTAACTCTATTCTTGGCTTAAATGCCTCATTTGAATTAAAAAAAAAAAGAGAAAATGAATAACAACAACAATTAACGAAATATTATGTAAATATTGATATATGGATGACCATTGGCATTACCACATTAGATGCTCACTTGGGAGTTACATGTAACCCCTAGTCCTACATTATTATCTCTCATTCATATGTATTGATATAAGGATGTAGTGGTTACCAAAGTGTGCATATAAATAGAGCATATTATTGTATCAAAAGTGAATTAGTGAAATTACTTATGATTATTCTAATTACAGCTCCTTTTCTTTCTCGAGGATGTTTATTATTGGAACCGATTGGTCTATCATTCTTCATGCGCTCTTTCATACACATTTTTTTTTATATTAGAGAATCCAACAAGGATATCAAATTTAGTTGGAGCATTCACAGCTAGTATATGTGACTTGGTCACTTCGTATGGCCAGTAAAGGCATTTGATAGTTGGTAATGATAATTCATCTTATGAACTTCAGGTTCATGTTTCTTACTTTGAGGATCAAAACTAGATAATGATAACTCATTCCAACTCATCTCTTTGTCTAACTGTTTTTTTTTTCTCCCCCTTAATGTTGGAAAAGTGATTCATCAAAACAATAATTTCGCAAACAAATTTCCAATTTGGGATTCATGCCCAACACAAATTCTCAATTTCCAACGAGAATCAACTTAAGATACTGTGGTGGAGCAATTGGGATGTATGCGGTACACCCTGATATTCTCATATGAGAAATGTTAGGTTTTTTACCAATATCATTTGTAAAAGGGGGGAACATTACTAACCTGAAAACATCATTGTTTTTTTTTTGTTTTGTGGATGCAGGATACTTAGGGACTGATCACTCCGAAGGACTTGAGAAGTGACTCTAATGATAGGAACTTGCCCCCTATCTTTCCTCCTTCACGTTTCTTAAAAACTTACTGGTTCTTTTCATGAGTAATGGGACACGAATGAAAGGCAAATTTGAACATAACGTGATGTTGATTGAAGAATATGTGGTTTATGATGCTTATGACTTTTCAGAAACGTTTTTTACCACCGTTATTATTACCCACACAGGTAGATCCAAACTTCTCGATACTCTGTTTCAAACAGATAACTCAGAGATAGAAATTGCAATGGGCAAAGCACTACCATGTTGAACCAAACAGCTCTGGATGCTAGCTAAACATCAAAAAATTCGTTGTCATCCCAAATCTTTAAATTAATAAGTCATCCAACGCACCAACAAAAAATAAAAGCAAATTCTTCTTTTATTAGTCAAATTACTTATGATTTTTCTAATACTTAATGAATAAGAAAGCTCACTTCCCCCTATCTTCTTTGTGTCTTTCCCTCTCTAATCTTCTCTTATAGTTGTTTATATTACATTAGTTTCATAACACGAAATTGTTTTTATTTACTACTTCTTTAATCTCTCTGATTTGCTTTTGTG